GGTTAGGTCAGTGCTAAAAAGTAATGCTTGATATAGCTTCCATAAACTACTGCTAGACGATCTGGGAATACAACGAGTTGCCGTTGTAATTGGCGGATCCATGGGCGGAATGCTGGTCCTAGAGTGGGCGTATTTTGGAAAAGACTACGTTCGGGCGATTGTACCAATAGCCACATCGGCTAGGCACAGTGCCTGGGGAATCAGTTGGGGGGAGGCCCAACGGCAAAGCATCTATAGTGACCCGGGGTACAGTAAGTGTTCGCGTTGTTATTCAAATGGACTCAAAATGCTGATGTTTTACGGAAGAGGATGGATACTATTCTTTTGAAGACGTAAGCAACCTCTCTCACGCAGAATTGGGACACTGTTAATTCTTTTTAGCCACCGTCGACTGGCCTTGGGGCAGCTCGTATGTCAGCGCTTTTGACATACCGGAGCCGCGATTCTTTCGAGTCAAGATTTGGCCGGAAGATACCTGACCCTTCAAAGCGACAGAGCATTAATGATAGCAGGCTTTCAGATCTCAATGAAGAACATTGGGCAGTCCATAATGAAGGGCACAAAAATGCAGGATCGTCCCGGTCATCGATAAGATCCGGCGGTTTCAGTTATCAAATCGGCTCTGCGACAAATTCATCAGTATCCATCCGCGAAAGCACGAATGTAACCAACAGCCCGTCAGATTTTACAGACCCTCAATTCAGCAGTGCCAAGGATATAGCGTCGGCACCCTCTCCAGCCAGCACAAGATCTTCGAGTCGCAGCAAAAGAGCGCCCACCTATTTTTCCGCCCAATCTTACCTACGCTACCAAGGTGAAAAATTTGTGAAGCGGTTCGATAGCAATTGCTACATAGCGATAACCCGCAAGCTCGACACTCATGACGTTTCTCGCTCCCGCAGCTCCCCAGATTCACCCCACCCTATTTTTGATGCCCTATCGCTCATTGAACAACCCACACTAGTTATTGGTATACATTCAGACGGGCTGTTCACATATGGCGAACAGGAAGAGCTCGCTGCAGGTATCCCGGATGCGAGACTTAGAAATATTGACAGTCCGGAGGGACATGATGCCTTCTTGTTACAGTTCAAGCAGGTCAATCGGTACATCTTAGAGTTCTTGAGGGAAGTACTCCCTGATATTATGGAGGCACCTGTGGAGAGTACCGAAGGGGATGGAGAAGGGGTTGGGAAACTGCTTAAGAACAGCACTTTTGGCGAAGCGGAGGTAGAGGACATCACGGCATGGTAATGGCCGGGTGAGGCAGTTATCAAAATTACCTAGATTTCTCTATAAATCTTTGTGAATGTTCTTGTCTTTGTTCTGGAGACGATTCAGGGGTTCTACTCGCGATAGATTGCGTTGCATAAACAATGGAGTTCGTGGTTTGCTAGTCTGGTCGGCATCTCCCAAGTGAGGTCTACACGAGAGTGTATTGCTATGTCTTCCCTAATTCAATATCTGTGCCCGCTAAACCCACATCATGGTATTGCCGTTCGCCGTCCCCGCCTTCCCGACCAGGTTGATCGAACCCCACCCCTGCGACGTCGGGTTTTCTTCTTGTTAAATATGTCCGAAAAAGCCATATCCAGTGGGACAGAAATATACCAGCTTCTAGGAGCAGACTGAATCGTCGCTGTATTTCAGTACATGTACGTGCAATCCAAATTTGAGAAGTCATCCTACCAGACCATATAGAGGACACCACCAAGGACATCGAATGTATCTTGAACAACTACATTCGGAGTTAGCAATACTTCGTTTAAAGGGTCACGGAATAGCCTTGCCGATGGCTAATAGAGAAAATAATGCTCCCATCCAATCTATAGTCAAAAATGCAAAATCTGCCAACATGCTCAGTCAAACTCTCTCTCATAGGGCATTTGCAAACCTACTTATTCCCACAACTCTTCCCCCCCTCTTTACTATCTCAAAATATGGCGGTATCAAGCCGGTTGCAAGCAGCACCGCCGCGAGAACACCAATAATTGTCATAGGGTACCCGATGCCGCGATCATATGGCTCCTTGGTTAGTTAGAACAAGTCAAGGAGTTCTAGTGTTCCCGGTCTTCAGTGCCTCACTCTTAGGGTTAATATGAGTGCGACCTCAGCTCCAGCAGATGCCACTCCAATGCCCACGGCGAGGGTGGCAGCTTTCCACGATCCCCAGTGGCTGGTGGCTGATCAGCTCACCTTCAGTTAAAGAGGCAGCTATCAACCCACCTGCTATACACTAGTATCTGCGCCCAACTCACCAGAGCCAGAGCGCAAAATATCTGTGGTTGTATTTGGAGTGGTATGTTGAAATTCTAAGGGTCCTATTAGCTCTTTAAACATGCTACTCACGTGTAGGACAACTAGACTTGAACGACAGCATAAACGCCTACAAAGATGTCAATCAGTAATCAACAAAGTTGGCATTAGCGTCACATATATAGTACTAACCAAACACAACCCCGCCTATACTATCTCATCAGCAACCTTTACTAATTTCAATGTACATAAACATACTCATTGCCCATAAAAACATCATGAGACCAGGGAGTCCATCTGTATTCTTCTGCTGGTAACTGTACCAGACCCTTGCTAGCTGTTAGGTCATGTCCTGGGTTTTGGCAAGTGGAACACACTGAGGCACCAACTGCCTAGTATTAGCCGTATTTTCGCAGTACCCCAAAGTCTTTGACGCACTTGTATGCACCACAGACTACACGCCCCAGCAGCGAAAATTAACAAAAATAATAGAAATTAGCGATCTCTGCTTGCTAGAGAGTCCATGCAGGGTTAAGGCGCACACTACGGACTGTTAGCATTAAAAGGGGCGTGAAGTTGGGCAATCACACGGACCCGTCCCAATTGTCTAGGTACATGTCCATCAGCACTTCTATTGATCTCGTTGAGTGTGGCCGTGTGGGGATTACCCCCAAAACATTCGCAGCCTGTCGGCAAACCGAAATTCCTCCGTCAGTGACAGCTGCTTGCCACCAATGGGAATGGAACTTACCACCGGAATATGTTTTTGGGGAGGCATCTTATTCCATATGGTCTCAGAAATAACTGAGAGTAGATTTTACGTGTAATATGATAAAATGAAGAGATGGCCGTTAACTACCTAGTCGTGCTAGACGTTATTGACGTTTTGTTGCTTGTGCGCCCTTGGAGTAGTTGAACGGAAACGGCTTGATCTAGGAAGCGGGGGCAAAACGATTACCCTTTTTCCAACAGCCGATCTGCATAGCAAGACGTGCCTGGTGCTTTCCCCTGCCCGTCTCAATGCTTAATCCAAATCTACAAATAGCTGCTTTCATCATCATAGTAGTCACTGAGTCACCTCCAATCTCCTCAGGTGGTGCTCCTTGCAAACCCGAGACTGGGCTGACATCGAATATCTCCATCCGGACTACTTAGGCTTGATTTCTTCAATGTGTGGCGTCGTAGAATCGGGGGTTACATCTCCTGGGTAGAAGACTTTTGGACTAGGCTTTCACGATTATGTTGTGATCTAATACCATCTAAACCTATCCTACACGAACTTGCCGAGTATAGTTTACATCAGGACAAAAACCATGCGTCCTCCTATACCCTGGTGGGAATTTTGACCTGCCCCTTCTTCCTATCTTCGTGAGGGATGCCATACCTCCAACCCACACCGCCAGGAGCCCTCCCGTCCTTCCCCGCATCTTGTACACTGATTTCCCTAAATCTCCATTCCCACCTCCCTCCATTACCTCCACTCTCTGCCGACAGAACTCTTTTCAGTGTGGCCTCTTCTATCTCCTTTCTCCTGCGGTCTTTTGCCTCACGTTTTTCAGACTCTCTCTTAGCTCGTTCTCTTTGCCGCTCTATACGTTCTTCCTGGGGTATTCCGAGGAGTCGCTCCTTTTCAAGCTCGATGAGCTCGGGATGTGGTATCCTCTCGTCAGTTGGGAGGAGTTCGGGATCAAATGCTTTGCTTGCGTCAATACGAGTGAAGGATCGGGATTCGGAGGTGGGTTCAAATATTTGTTGTGTTGTTGCAGGGTGCACAGGAAGGTCATTGATAGGCTCGTGCATTTTCGGCCGTAGTGGGAATGTCATCAATGGGGTCGTTGGTAGCATTTCCAGAACGGCCTTCGAGTACGGCTTTGCTAGTGGCTTATTCTGTTTTGTGGTAAGTGATAGTAAGTATGACTAAAGTTTCTAGACGGCTTCATGACCACAAGGATGTACTTAAGGGGGAGATTCAGAGAGGCTCGCAAAGCGTGTTAATTTGTAACCATGTAGAAAGTCTTATAGACTAATCGATTCAAATGTACTCATCAGGTAGATACGTGAAATGGCGTGTGGCAACCGGAACAGGAGACCTGTCATACCTTTTTGACCCAGTCCTTCTCAATTGCCTTTAACCTGACCACTGCTCCAACCCGATTCATGTCAATGCCAAGCTCCGCGCTCACAATCTTGACGGATTTGCCTCCGCTTATGACCCTGTCATATATCTCCTCCCTGAGCTCCTCGCTCAACACGGGTTGAGAAATAAAGCCGCTATTGATCGGGAAAGGTCTAAGATCAGCTTTGTCTTCCGGCGCGGCCTTGCTTTGTCGAGGATTCCCTTCGCTATCTAAGTTACTCTCCTCTGATGGGTCTGAAGCCTCCTCACCCAACGAACGCGAAGGGGCATTTTCCAGTGATCTCCATAACTGCCCCTGGGAATCATAGCCGCTGAGATAGTTCGTTGATCCTGGGAAAGGCCTTCGAAAATTTTCTCCAGGACCTCTAAGCCATCTAAACATTGACCTTCGTAAACGTGTGCAATGATGTGGGGAACCCGAGAATGGCCGAGCGTTTGATAGGCATTGCGAAGAGCGCTTTGCTAACGGTGAGGATCGTATCCAGGTAGGGTTTATTCTGGGTGGCATGTTGATGGCATTAGAAATTAGAGAGTTCAAAGGACAGAAATTTCTGTTAGTTTTGCTGACTCATCGGGATACGTGAAGGGAAGAAAAAAAATCAATATTTGCATCAACCGCGAATCGAACGCGGACCTCAACCTAGCACTATAGTGGAAGGGTCGAATCCTAACCATTAGACCATTGATGCGTTAAATTACAATTGCTTAAGGTTACTCATTTACTTAACTCAAGGCTCCCCCATGTTTATTCGCCCTAATAATTCACGTGGAAAAGTCTAGTTATTATAGTTTTCTAGCATTTCTTTACATAGTGCTCGCTCGAGGAATCAACAAGTTGTTCGGCAGAGCTTGAGGGCGTCATTTGGCTCTCGGATTCAGCCTCAATATGCTGCATCCGACGCGGCCCGCATATGCGCACAGTCATGTGTGCATTCGTGACCTCCATGTAATCGCAGGGAATTGGCGGTTTCAACGTGTAAGGAGGTCATCTGTCTGCATTCAATAGTGCAACCACCTGTTTTTCTCCACAATTAAGAACATTCGTGGGGGTTTTCCGCCCTCAGATCGTATGGCGTTGAAACGGGAATGTGAAATTGGTCTGTGTACCCTATTCCGGATACAGTACTCCTTTCGAAACATCGACGAGCTGGCTGCCCGACATTGGTTCATTATATGTCACCCGATGTCGTGATTATTGGTAGAGACGTCCCACGTGCACCTTGGCCCGGGGCCTGCCCTGGAGGTAAGAATCCCACCTAAAATTGCCTCTTGGTCTTCCCAAAAGAGACTCCTTACTCCATACATTCAGTTGCTAAACCTTTATAATCGCACTGAAAGGAGTCTTGAGGCTCGACTCCCAGTCATGTTTCTCAATAGCACCTTGCTAGTGCACGCTCTATATCTTCAACAACCTGCGCTAGCGCTTGTCTGATCGGAAAACTGCCGTCCCCACAGTCGCTTCCTTCGTCGCCCCCATCGTACCGCGGCTCTCAAGCTGTGTTGGCGCGGAGGCACGCCAGTTGCCTCATTGCCCGGCTTCCACTCAGCCGACGAAACTGAGAGTCGATGCGCGTCACCGCCACTTCCGCTCACGAATCCCGTTACAAGCAAGCCAGTTCACTAACGTAGAGACTACGACAAAGGTGTAACTTGAGCCACTAGAGATTTGCCTGTGAGGGCCGATACTTAGCCGGAGCTCTGTCGATAGACTCTACTACATAAGCATATGCAAGCCGCCGGCTATACAACTCTCCCAAAGAACAAGAAGTGCACTACGCTCAGGCTAAGATTTAGCTTGGGATCTGTGCGGCTTGGCAAAGGTTGAAGCAGGAACCACCGCATTTCGAACTATCTCGAGGTCCATTCCAGCTTCTAACACCCAGGATACGAGTCGCACTGGAAGTTACTCTAGTTGGATTCCAGGAGAGAATACCTACGCTCGCTAGTACGCTCCTTAGTACCAAGTCGAGCTGGTCATTTCTATTTTTCTCTCAGATCGAGGCGCGATCCTCGGACGAGACTTAATAGCACCATTGCAGGAGCTTTTACTTTCGACTGAGCCAGCCACCCATGGTGGAGATTTCACACGGTGGAAAACCTTTGGTCATTCTTACGCACAAAGCGACCATTGACCCAATTTTGCGTTTCATTCAGCCAGCGCAGAGGGTATCAGAGCCACGTCTGTTGAGCGGTTCCAGGAGGCAGCTTTGTCTGCTTACCTGCTTGATTGTTCTTCGAAATCATCACTTAATTTGTGGATTGATATGACGACAAACCTTCCGAAAGGCTTTGTGACGAACAGTGAATCTATACCGGGAGATATAGAACGAATTGGCACTGTTGACGTGGAAGAAATATTTCAACTTTGGAGGGGTGGGTTTATCGTCTGTCTGCCATCTTCCTGCTCAAGTTAGCTGACTTATTTATGATAGTATATACCACAAATAAAAATGTGCTTCAAAATGACGTCGGGTTACGGTTGGAGAATCTCTTCTGGAGGATCTGGAGCAATGACCAGATACGGGGCAACATCAAGGGCTCCACGGTAGCAAAGCTTTTCATACTCATTTCTGGAGCGCAGACCTCCAAACAAAATACGCTCGTAAAATCTCCTCACTCTCCAAGAGGGCTGTCAGAGGTCCGATCCGTGCGTGAGGCCCGAGATCCTCTCACTCCTTCGTCGCGCTTGCTCTCACCTCTACAGAAAAATCCACCCCCACATTTAGTTCAATCTTATAGCCCACTTGGTTCCCAGGCATCACGAGAAGCGCTATCGACACCACCTGAACATCAGCCTCCGTCACCTTCAATAGAGAGACCGAAGGCCGTCCTTCCACCTCCCATACTAAAGAGGCCTCGCGGAAACACCATGGATAGCTCTACCCAAGCAGCCACGCTAGCCGTCCAAGAGGAAAGTGGCTCTTCTATTTGCTCTGCAGTTGATACTGTATTACGACCACCTACCCCACCAAAATCACGAAAGGACCCTACAGGTGGTCTCAAACGAAAGAGGACATCATTTGTTGCGAGCACTGCTGCCAGTACTCGGCGAAAACCAACGTTGGCCAAACGCAAGTTGTCGCAATCATCCGTTGCAAATCAAGCTTCCTCTTTAACTCTCCCACTCATCCCGCCCTCCGGCCAAAACGGACGCGGAACTGGTTCTAGGGAACTCACTGCGACCCAAACTACTTTTATTCCTGGTAGGTACTTTGTCAACTAGTCATGGCTCTTCTACGTCATGCCAACGTTTAGCCATGTGGCAAGACCCCTGCTTCATGCGCATCTCCCCGTGAATCGGCAAGGAATTCGTTCGAATAGGATATCATTGTGAGCTAATTTAGTATTATAGAGTCGAGGACTAGGGGTTCACACCTTCCACCCTTAGGTGATAAAATTGGAGTGGATCCAAAAAATGGCCGCATACAACCCCAGTCGGTTGACACTCCTCGCCGTGTTCGGAACGAGCAGAAACTGAGAGTTCCAGTTAGTGCTGAGCACGGTAACTTGGGTGGTGGGAAGCCCAATCTGGCAACGAGTGTTGACGGCGAAGACCCAAGGATTGACTGGCTCGTTGAGCGGGACTTCCGGTCCAAATTCGTGGACAAAAAACGTCAAGAGAGGTTTGCCTTCTTATTGAGGCACCCTTCAACCTCCAAAACAGGTCCTACACTCGCTCAAAGCTCAATGGAAGCGACTGCTACAATAGAGTCGGGTGAAAATTCCACCACAAAAGTGTTAACAAAGGGGAAAAAAATGTTCGTGGTGGATGGCGTGGTGCCATTAAAGACTGAAGGATTTCCCCAGCATCAGTTGCTGGAGGATAATGGCGGGCCCCTTGCCCCACTTCCCCGTACCAAAAGCCAGCTTACTTTTTTGCTGGAGAGGGATAGGGCTGCTAAGGCCCAAGAAAAGCAAAAAAACCGAAAGAGCTCATCATGAACTCGGAAGCTTCACCCCTTCAAGGTTGCCCCTCGTCGCGCCCTGAAGTGCTCTAATTACATGTTGCCTCCTTTCTTTTGCATCCCACAGTGCTACTTGAGTAGGCATTCTCAGAGCTTAAGGCTTGTTAATGCTTTCGAAGTGGATCGGGTTTGTGGTTCTCAAAAAGTTAAAAGTTCCCATACTACTACTGGCTGCATGGCATCGGTGTCTTGAGCCATTTTTCTGGCGCCTTCGGTCTTAATCATTTGTTATAATAGTCTACAGAGCCAATGGGCCATCCAATCGATATTTTTGAGCTATACCGAACGGTTGATTGAAATGGGTCATTCATCCTCAAGTACAAAAGTTCGCGAAGCTCGCATGAATCTTAAATTTGCTAAACGGTTCACGTGACTTGAATAGGCATACGTCAGCTTCGAGCCTCTGAAGCAACATCAGCAGAGTTCGCCCACCTGAGTTTAAGTGTTCAACCACCTCTCATTTATCTATCCCCCTGACGACATCTATCGATGCAAGCCCTTCTAACAATGTTCTTTCGTTCCTTGATTCTCTTCTCCTCACTGGCGTTGACCGCCCGAGGTTTCCTTCTCCCACCATCGGCTCAGGGGGATGCAGAGACGTTAGACACGGTGGATACTGTTGTCAACACCCGCCTTCTGAAGCTTGACTGTCCTGGATGTCTTTTTGCAGAGAGCGATAGGTCAGGCAATGGCTATCACTGGGATGAGAATGTGGAAAACTCTTTGGTACAGTGTCCTATAGTTTATGCTACTAAATTTGTGCTGAACGACAGCCTCTTAGTTCTTAAACTTTACTGTTGAGCGCACAAATCCGGAGGTGTTAACCCTTAATGGAGCCCAACTCTATCCAATCCACATGGTCCCGCCGCCTCTCTCGGCTCTTCAACTTCCCTCGTCTGTTTCGCTTACTGCCCTCAGCACCATAACTGCAGCTTCCATGGAGGAGGGTATCATGCCATTTGTTCGCCTCCGCCTCAGCTATGAACTCACTGTCCGTCCAAAGAGACCTATACCAGCACAAGGCAATTTTGAAATCTTGTTGTTCAAAGTAAGAATCCTTGGGATCGAAGGGAAGCCGGTCACCGGTCTTGATACCGTGGAGATGACACTACTCAAATCCCCTGAGAATTCGCTATATATTGTCTCCCTGGACAAGTCGGAGCCGAGTCACAGCCACCTCTACCCAAGTCCAAGTGAGCAAGAGAAGGCGGGCGAAGAGAAGGAATGCATGACCTTACCTATTTTGTGCAAATGGAAAGCCATCCTCGGCGACAAGCTTTCTGGCGTAAAAGCGTCTCTTAAGGGCTGTCATAAGTTCCGCCCTGGCCACTCTAAGGCTGGCAAGGCTAAGGGTGGACATGCCAAAGGTCATTCTGCCAGCCATTCTGGCAAACCTCACGGTCACCACACTCATCATGCTCATCACAACGACCATCGTCTGAGTAAATTCTTCCGTCAACTCAGGCGGGTGGCGGCACATATCCTTGTCCCTATCTTCATCGGAGTGGCTGCAGGAATGACAGCGAGCGCGATAGGAATGGCTGCGGGGCTGCTTGTGGTCCTTTTGTGGAAGAAGTTCTACAGAGGCGGAAACCGGGGTGCGTACTCGATGGTCCAGCAGAGCGAAGAATACAACGAGGATAATCCAAGGGAGAATGAACTGCACGACGATAAGGGCCTGCCGGAGTACGAAGAGTTTATTGCTACCAACGAAGTGGATGGGA